AAATTAAGGGGCGTGGTTTGAGCTGCCAGGATGATTGACAGCTCCTTTATGCAAATTAAGCGGCGTGGTTTGAGCTGCCAGGCTGATTGATTGACAGGTGTTTATGTAAATTAAGGGGCGTGGTTTGAGCTGTCAGGCTGATTGACAGTGCTTTTATGCAAATTAAGGGGCGTGGTTTAATTTCTTTCCCTAAAAAAGTCGGGACTTTTTTCCCCCCCAAATTTGGGATTTTTTTCCCCTAAAAAATTCGGGATTTTTGTCCCAAAAATTGGGGATTTTTTTCCTAAAAAAACTGGGATTTTTTTCCCTCCAAATTTGAGATTTTTTCCCTCCAAAATTTGGGATTTTTCTCCCAAAAACTCAGGATTTTTTTGCCTCCAAATCGGCTTTTTTTTCCCTAAAAATTTGGGATTTTTTCCCTAAAAAATTGGGATTTTTTTCCCTAAAAAATTGGGATTTTTTTTCCCTAAAAAATTGGGATTTTTTCCCCTAAAAATTTGGGATTTTTTCCCCTAAAAATTTGGGATTTTTTCCCCAAAAACTTGGGATTTTCCCCCGAAATGAGCCCGGGAGGGTGGGGGAGGTGCAGCTCCTTTATTTGGGTCCCGAATTTGGGGATTTTCCCCCAAAATTTGGGAATCTCGGGGGGGCTCAAAGGTCCAGGTCCTCGTCGGGGTCCTCGGGGTCCTCGGGGGGCGGCTCGGGGACGATCCTGGGAAAATTTGGGGGAAAAAATGGGGATTTTGGGAAAAATCGGGAATTTTGGGGGAAAAAATGGGGATTTTGGGAAAAAAATTGGGGATTTTGGGGGAAAATTTGGGGACTTTGGGGGAAAATTGGGGAGAAAAATGGGGAATTTGGGGAAAATTTGGGGGATTTTGGGAAAAATCAGGAATTTGGGGAAAAAATGGGGATTTTGGGTAAAAAATCGGGGATTTTGAGGGGATTTGAAGGGGAATTTTGGGGGATTTTGAGGGAATTTTGGGGGGATTTTGGGCTGATTTTGTGAGAATTTTGAGGTGATTTTGGGGCTCATTTTATGCGAATTTTTGGTTAATTTTTGGGGCAATTTGGGGGAATTTTGGGGCAATTTTGAGCGAGATTTTCGGAGGAATTTTGGGGGATTTTGGGAGGAATTTTGGGTGAATTTTTGGGTAATTTTGGGCCAATTTTGGGAGAATTTGGGAGGAATTTTGGGGGATTTTGTGTGAATCTTGAGGTGATTTGGGGCTGATTTTGGGAGGAATTTGGGGGGATTTTGGGCAATTTTGGGGGGGATTTTGGGGGAATTTTGGGTGAATTTTTGGGTAATTTTTGGCCAATTTTGTGTGAATTTTGAGGTGATTTTGGGGCAATTTTGACGGGATTTTGGGGCAATTTGGGGGGATTTTGGGGTCTCTGGAACTCACCTGGGCAGGTACGGGGGGGTCAGGGCCGCCCTCGCCCCCCGCTCGGCCCCCGACAGCCCCAGGCGAAAAGTCAGGGGGGAGGGGCCCAAATTTGGGGCATTTTGGGCCTTTTTGGGCTCCTCCCCCCGATTTGGGGAGGGGTCGGGCAGGGGGGGCCCCCCCAAGGAGCCGTCGGGGAGGAGGGTGAGGGTCTCCTGGGGGGGGGAGGGGAGAGACCAAAATCAACCCCAAATTTACCCAAAATCAGCCCCAAATGATCCCAAAATTCACCCAAAATCACCCCAAAATTCACACAAAATCAGCCCAAAATTATCCCAAAATTCACCCCAAATCAGGCCAAAATCAGCTCCAAAATTACCCCAAAATCAGCCCCAAATTCCCCCAAAATCAGCCCAAAATTCACCCAAAATCAACCCAAAATCAGCCCCAAATTGCCCCAAAATCAACCCAAAATCAGCCCAAAATTCACCCAAAATCAACCCAAAACCACCTCAAAATTCAGCCTAAATTCACCCAAAATTCATACTAAAATTATCCCAAAATCAGCCCAAAATTCACCCAAATTTAGCCCCAAATTACCCCAAAATTCACCCAAAATCGGCCCAAAATCAGCCCCAAAATCACCCAAAAATTCACCCAAAAATCACCAAAGATTCATCCCAAAATTACCCAAAATCACCCCAAAATTCAGCCTAAATTCACCCAAAATTCACCTAAAATCACCCCAAAAAAACCCCACAAAAATCCCAAAAAAGCCCCCCAAAATCCCCTTTAAACCCCCCCAGGACCCC